TCGAAAGCCAGACTCCCATGGAGATGTGGTCTTGAATCAAACCACGCAGAGGCTTTCCAGCAGTCGCAGATAGGTATTGATGATCGGTATCCGCTACCGTCATAGCCTCCGCTCGGGCCAGCTCGTTCTGGGGGAAATGCATGTTCATCTCGTCACCGTCAAAATCGGCATTGTACGTGTTACAGTTGGCGTAGTGCATGCGAATGGTCTTTTCTCCCGGCAATACACGGGCGCGATGTGCCATCATTGACGGCTTGTGCAGTGTAGGCTGTCGGTTCATAATGACAACATCGCCATTGTTCAAATGACGATGCACCTTCTTATTCCGAGCTCCATTGGAGTATGAATTTGTGGGTGCAAGCAGTTGGTTGGCCAAAGCTAGTCGCTCTTCGTAGTTCTTCTTCTTCAGTGACACTACTTGTCCAAACTCGTTCTCGATGGCATGCGCGCCTGGCCACTTGTCGGGACCGTTCAGGACAGCTTCCTTGAGATCGTAGAAGTTGTGGTTCGTGACAGGCTCTGGGTAAGTAAGTTTCATGGCGAACACTGGAGGGACACCAATCTCGTTGGTCTCAATATTTGGGTCAGGCGAAATGACACTGCGCGCCGCGAAGTTGACACGCTTGCCCATCATGTTCTTTCGGAAGAGACCCTCCTTCTTTTCCAGACCCTGCTTGATACCATCGGCGTTTGTGACTGCAGCGCGGCCTTGTACGGGGTTTGCATCGCGATCGATGAGGGCGTTGACGGCACCCTGGAGGTTGACAAACTGGGTCTGCATGTCGTCGAAGTTACGTTTCCGGTATCCGAGCTCGTTCTCCATACCTCGCATCTCCTGGCTAATCTGACGGATTGTGTCACATGCTTCGAGAATGCTCTTGTAGAGCTTGTTCCTGGCGGATTCGGCAATAGAGTCGCCCGTCTTATCTTCGGGTCTGTACTTGTTGGGTGGTACGACGATGGCCTGTGTGAAGAACATGTCGGGATTTACGTCCACGAGAGACTTGGTTCCGTGAGGGCTGTACAGAAGTCGCATCATCTCAGTCTCGCTCTCGAAGAGTAGGGTCATGGCTGCTTTGACCTCTGTCGCGTTGATATACTCTTGCGCACTCTCTGAAACAGCGGATGACGACTTCGCTTTCCGTGCCATGCGAGATTCTGTAGCGAGGAGCGACCCGTCGGCCTGCTGTATATCCTCCATTTCGATGCCCTCGTCCTCGCTCGAGTTGGGATCCAGGTCCGCCACTCCCTCATCCGCGTGTACATGTTGCTTTTTCGCCTTCGCATCTCTGCGAGCCAGGATGTCCAGAGGGTTTTGGAAGGACATCTCTTTTGCAGCCATCTTGGCCTTGTCCTTTTCGCTCAGAGGCTTCCGGAAAATCTTGATGCCACGGTCCTTTCGGAACGTTGGGCTGATGCCCGTGCAACTGCCGCAAGCCTTCCGCTTGGTGAGATCGGCATAGAAGTCCTTGATGACTTGTCGCCGCGCATCGGAGATGGTCTCGTTCTTGTCGCGGACAGCACGCGCATCGTGCTTTGTGATGCCTGCCCTCTTCATGCAGCGCTTTACGTAGTTGTTGCGCTGAGTGATGATGTCGGCATTGTCGTCGTCATCGTCATCCTCAGAATTACCGGCTTCTTCTGTCGTCTTGCCCTTTTCCATGCTAATGTGCTCGTGCATTTCGTTTGCTTCCTTTACTAGTCCACATCTTATCAACCGCAGCTTGGAGACGAATTCGCTGACTTGGACACGGGGGAGCTTGAGCTGGTGGCAATATGCGCACTTGCCCCGGAGCAGTCGCAGCAGCTGGTCCATGAATGTGAGGTGGTATACGGGTACGGGGAGCTCGATATGGCCGCAGTGGCCGGGGCAGCCTTGGAAGCTGGTGAGACCGCATGTTCCGCATCTTGAAGTTTGTTAGCGGAGTGAATGAGCTTGTGGAAACGCGATGAAGCTCACGCATTGTCCAAGAAAGCGCCCAAGGCAGCGTCGTGCAGACCGCCAGGTACCGGGTGCAGCAGCGTATCGAAGGTGGTCGGGTTCGTGATGCGCTTCACCGAGAGCGACTTTATATCGTTTGTCGTCAAGAAGCCAAACTCGACGCCATTAATGGCCGAGGAAGTCGGCTGGTGGGTGTTCATGGCGGCGCCAGCTTGTCTTTTGCGCCTATTGTCTGAAGAAGTCGCGCGCAAAGGCGTTTAGTGAATGTTCGCAGCAGCGCGAGCCTTGCGGGGAGTTTTTTTCGGGACCAGAAGAGTTCGGCCAGGGTTTAGCCGGCAGTGCCAAGGCGCTTGTCGAGGCGGCAGCGCGGATTTCGCGTCACTCTGCAGCGACTGGCTTTCATCATCCACCACACCCCACCCGCCAGTTTTGGGAGACACTCGTCGGCTACATCCTACGCGCATCACATGTAGTGAACTGCGTTGATTCTCTACAGCGCTCTAGCGACGACATTGCGCGAATCCAACCAAACTTCACCCCCGAGCCTCCGCATACGCCAATCACACGACCAACACTCCTTTATCCACCACATCCACCATGACCATGGCAGAGAAGCGCCCGTACCCCGACGGTCAGGGCCCAAATGGAGATGCCAAGCGCGCAAAGGCTTCCGATGCCATCGAAGCCGCGAGGGCGAAAGCCAAGGCAAAGGCCGCTGAGATCGCAGCCCGTTTCGCGAAGCAGCCCGCCGCTGCAGCTCCTGCACCGGCGTCGGCTGGCGCTAACGAATCAGTCCAGGACAAGCTGGCTGCCATGAAGGCACGGATGGAAGCGCTCAAGGCCGGCTCAGGAATCGCGAAAGCGCCAACACCAGACTCGACCGGCCCTCGCTTTGCGACAACACTGGGCAACCGCCGCTCAGAGACACCCAAAGTCGACCCCAAGGCCAAGCCCGCTGCCTCGAAGCAGAAGCAACAACAAGAGGAGGAGCTGGAGAATCCATACTTTGACCCCAAGGCTGCCGCCCTTGCAAAGAAGAGAGGCCCTCGTGTTCTGGCCTTCAACGAGCATGGAAAGTACCTCGACCAGGCCTCCAAGCTGCGCGCGCAACGTCGCCTAGAAGAGATCAAGAAGACTCTTGCCATCCAAGCACGTCGCGCTGGTCTGGACGAGAACAGCGAGCGCGGATTCCTGGTTCAGGCACCTCCGGACATCGAATGGTGGGACGAGGGTATTCTGGCCGAGCCTACCTATGAATGCTTGGACGACCCGACCAAGGTCAAGGTTGAGACCGACGATTCCATCATCACTCTCTACGTCCAACATCCTCCCCTCTTGAAAGCGCCCCAGGATCAGCGTCTAGTCCAGGTGAAGCCCATGTACCTCACCACCAAGGAGACACAAAAGCTACGCAGAATGCGCCGTGCGGCCGACCTCAAGGAGCACCAAGCGAAGATCCGTCTTGGTCTGGAGCCGCCTCCGCCACCCAAGGTCAAGCGCGGAAACATGATGCGTGTCATGGGTGAGCAAGCTATCGCAGATCCTACCGCTGTAGAGATGCTCGTCGAGTCACAGATCCAACAGCGTCACGACGATCACGTTACTGCAAACGAAGAGCGGAAGTTGACCAAAGAAGAGCGAGCGGCCAAGCTTGTAGCCAACCAAGAGAAAGACGCGCAGAAAGGTCTCTACATGTGCGTCTTCAAGATCAACACACTCGCCTACGGAAAACATCGTTTCCAGATCGACAACAACGCGAAAGAACATGCGCTCACCGGTATCACCCTATTCAACCCCGATCTCAACCTGGTCGTTGTCGAAGGCGGCGCATATGCAATCAATAAGTACAAGAAGCTCATGCTTCATCGTATCAAGTGGCATGAGAACGGCCCACCGACTGAGAATCAAGCCGAGAAGCAAGCATCGGATCCAAAGTGGCTGAGGCCAGTGACCGATACCGGAGACGTCAAGGACCATTCATCCAACAAATGCATTCTCATCTTCGAGGGTGAGATCAAGGAACGCTCCTTCCGCAAGTGGGGTTCAAGAGTCTGCGAAACCGCTGGCGAGGCTCGTGAGACACTCGGACGGGCTAAGCTTGACAGTCTGTGGGCGCTCGCAAAGAGCATGGAGTGAGCGCGTCTTTCATCGCGACTTGACTATCTAGGATTACACTGCATCTTTGGCGACCTGGGCCGACATCATTTCGGATACATACCACTTGGGGCGCGCACTTGGAAAAGCGAATTTGGGAGGACTTCTCTTCATGCTCAATGTAAGTTTACTCATAACTCCATAGTTTGGAATCTACGTATTAATGCACCTTCTCTTGTTCCAGCCGCGCAATCGTGATGTTGCATATAGTCCGTATCCGCCCATTCCATGCTAGCCGAGCTACTGCCGAGCCTGCTGGCAATGTTCTTTCCACTGAGCCTCTAGAAACCTACATGGGTATGGTAAGTGTAATAGCGTGCGACCTACATGTGATGTATTCGGCAGGCGTCGAGATAGATATGAGCGTAGGTGTTTTCCTAGTACTCTGTCTTCCTCAAACCACGTTACGAGCGTGTCTTCTGTTCTCTCCACTTCAGTTGTATGCAGCAACGTGCCTCTTGAAGTTTTTTGTGAGCTGGATTTAGTTGGCGTATGCTTCAGGCCCTACTTTCAGCCGCCTCGCTGAGTGGCATATTAATCGTAGTTGCAACGGTAGGTTGGGGTGCAAATAGTCACCCATCCATGGTACTGCGATGACGCAGAGCGAGACGAGCCACTCATGACTCCCGAAATACATAACCACCACATACGCAAAGGTACTCCTCATCAAATGAGAGAGATCGCAATCATCAGACGCAAATAGTCAAACCATGGCACCGTCGAACGAATAGCTCTCTTTCCTCCATATATAAGCCGACAGTCGATGCCTCGATCCTTTACATCCACACAAACACCTCCTGCAACCATCGTAGCTATGGCACGCAACACTGGCATCCGTCACAAATGGACTTCCGCCTGCAAAAGACTTCCGCAAATCTTCCGCGACTCGCCAAATCTGCACATCATGTTACTCCTCGGGTCGCCTACCATACTATTGTTTGCTGCTGCAAGTTTTCTCAGGCACAATTACCCAGAAACCTATGCTGTCTGCTACTGGGATAAGCCGGGCGAGATGCGGACCCCGTCGCTCGGCTGCCCATACAACAGAGACGTTTTCGAAACGCCCACACACCGCGGCTGGCTAGCCTTCTACGCCCTTGTCGTCATCACGCTTCTACATGGTCTCGTCGCTCATCGCAACAAGCCGTGGCGTCTGCTGCAAGTCACATTTTGGCTTCACGTCCTCACCACGGCCATCATCCGCTGTCTGTCTACATTCTCCGGCTGGACAACACAATCCGACTGGGCGAGCTTGATCTGGAACTCCAACTCACCAGGCAAGTTCATCTGGTTATGGCTACTAGTCGAGATGGGGTGTTGGAGTTGGACATATCTCGGCTTTTACGACGACTACTATCTCCGCGAGGCCACGCGCACCGTCCACGACCGAAGTGGCCACCCTGTATGGACTTTCACCGTCGACGAGACTGACGCGTTCACCTCTCCCTACAACCTCATCTTCCGGCCGTGGCGCGACATAGCTGTTCGACTGTCATACGTCCACCTCATTGACAACGCTATCCACGTCATTTGGTTCCGGTACTTTCACGTCGACGCTCCATACACCGCTTACGTCAACAACTCGGAGATGTTGACTATTCTCCTCTTCGTCGTTCTGGCTGTATACACGTACACGCGCATGCGTACACACGTATACTTTGACACCAACACCACAGAACCTCTCGTCGACACCGAGAGCATCGTCCCATTTCCCATACACTCAGTCTCGCGCGACCTTTGCACGTTTGCATCACCGCACAACCTCTTCCGCACGGCGTCGCGGAACCGTCAGTTCCTCCTGATCTACTGGTGCCTCATGTTTATGTTGGACCTTGCGGCGCATGATTTGCTTTCGCTTTACTGGGCCGAAATCTGCGGGTCGCTTCTCATGTATGGTCCATGTGTTCTTATAGTAAGGCAGATCACCGACTCGTGGAAAGAGTACAATAAGGCGTGGAAGAAGGGTGAAGAAGGTGATGGGCAGTGAAAGATTAGTGTGGCAGGTGTGTGGTCCGATTCCTGTTATGGGGAGGCAGAGTGGATACTCTCGAGAAGAGTGTTGGGAGATGTGGAAGAGTGATAAGGAGGCCGAGGTGCAGTGGGCCATTAGTGTAGCAGATGATCTGTCACTTGTGTATCAGCGTTAGGTCGGTATGGGTCACGAGGGTTTGTGGCGTAGTCAATTGAAAACAACACCGTTCATCAACACCGCTATCGCCTGTCTCAATGCTGTCGTTCTATGGTCTACGAGAGTTGTGAGGTTATCCATCATGTGAGAAGCCAGCAAGAATTACGCATACTCAGTCCTGAACAACAGTCGATTCACATACCCAACCTATTTACAAAAGAACAACACGTTCCCTAAATCCAGCCCACACACATACACAAAGAAAATAGCAGGTAGTCTAAATAGATTGGGGTAATTAACATCTTCGTACGTGCATCTACACTTCCACCTCTTCCTCCTTCTGCCCATTATTCAAAACAACATCCCTCTCCATCTACACACCCAGATAAGTCCCGCTGGTAATCTTCTTCACAGTGGCGACAGGCTTCCAGCCAATCGCCGGACTAGGCGGCGCATTCTCCTCTGCATCCGCGAACGGATCTGCTTCGCCATCGTCCTTCTTCGCGTTGAGAGGCGCACTCATGCTAACGCCTAGCCCGCTGCCTAGAGTCAATGACTGCTCGTCGCTGATCTCCCAGCGGGCCTCTGTGTTACCGGGTTTAGCTTGGCCGTCGGTGATGAAGCGGGCGCGGAGAGTTTGGGGAGCGGAGTCTTTGAAGAGGGTCACGTCGCCTAGGCGCCAGTAGATGAGGCCTTTGTCGCGCGAGAAGGTACCCGTGGGTTTCGATTGGCAGGATGTTGCTTTGGACCCGGGTTCAAGGCGGATTACGAGGACGAGGTTGCGGATGGTGATGCTGGTTGCGCCACCGAGTTCGAATCGGGGGTTGAGGGAGTAGTTGAGAATGGCCGAGGTTTGTGTGGGTTCTGACTTCCATGCTGGAGACAGCATGAGTGGTGGGAGGGAGGCGATGTTGCTGTCTTCGATGTGAAGCTGGTAGTGGAAGGCCACTGATGTCTTCAAAATCTTCGATAGGTCAACGGTGTAGTTGCCTGGGCTGTCTGTTGACTGCTCGATGAAGGCAGGGTTGGGCGCTACCTTCTCGAGCACGGGGAAGTTCTCCAGACGTATGCTCTCGGTGCCCAATGGACCGGCAGAGACATCGACGGGGTTGTACGCGAGCGCGACCTGCCCGATTACCATGGCCTTGGTAACGTTACCCTGCTCGAACCAGGCGCTGACGGTCTCCACTAGCGACGCATTGAGCCCTGGTTCATGCAGGTCCGGGTGTCTGATCGTGGTGCTAGCGGAACTGCTTAGCGATCGGCCCGATCGAATGGATTGCGTATCCGATGCTGGGTGGTCGTCTGACAGCAGCGCCCGATGGGGAGGCTTAAACGCTGGAGATGCAGGTTGGGGAGGAATAGCAGGGGCAGGGAATGTTGCTGAACCGGGGCCAGAAGCGAGACCAGAATCGCTCGTTGGGAGCGGAGGCACTTCGCCTATGCTTTGAAGCTCGGGTGCTGCGGGGTTTGGTACGAATATCGTGTTACGAACATCTCGGCGACCACGCAACGTGCTTGACCGCTTCGGCTGGGCAGCTTGCTGTATGGGTGTTAGTATAGGGTTGAAGACACCTCTGCTATTACTTACTGTGCGCAGCATGTTGACCAGGTTGGCGGTAGCCGCATCAGCATCTCCATCTTCTTCCTGGATCGGAGCATTTCTGATATCGAGCTTGAACTGGGGTGGTGCGTTGCCGTCATTTTGTGCCCTGACAATAATTAGCTGGGTAGAGTGTCGTGCGTATGGTGTTCTTACAACCCTGCTTCCCTCTCGGCTTCGGTGATGGCATCAAGGGCCGATGGAGGCACAGAAAAGCCCTCGGCATCTTTCTCGGGTTCTGGCTGCGTCTCTGTAACTGGCGGTGGCGGAAGTGGCTCTTTAAGTTCTGGTATGGACTCTTGGACGGGTGCGGTGCCATTGACGGCGGCTGGTGCATCTGTCTCCACGGTCGATTCGGGTGTGGGACCATTAGGCGCAACATCACTGCTGGCCTGGCGGGTAATGCTTTGAGAATCGGATCTTTGAGAAGTACTGGGTCTCTGCGATTGTCGCAGAGGAGATATCGGGCGTTCCGCAGTAGGAGGCAGCGATGGGCCCTGGTTATCACCCTTTTTCGATTTGCCCTTGCCAAATCCACTAAATGCCGAGCCCAGGTTTGAAGAAGATTGTCGGTCTGGTGATTGCGCTCGGCCGTACGGATGCGCACTCTGTCTCCTTCTCCCCAATACCGTGCCGAATCGCTTGAGAGGGTTGGAGCTATGTTTCTCCGGCACAGAGCCACTCTTCTGGCTCCGGTTGTCATCAACTGCGGTAGGGGATGTTGGTCCAGAAGCTGGAGGTGCTAGGGTGCGCGAAGGAGTTGGTGGGTTGCTTGGTTTCCGCGAAGGCTGGGGTGCATCTCCGCTCCGCATCCGCAACGCCCAGGTTTGTATTTCATCGGCGGTTTCAATGTTCAGCATGGCATTCAGTGTCTCTTCGGCGGTAGTTCTACTCCGCTCTACCTGGTCTACCTCATGCGTTTGGAATTGTGTGAGCACATCGCGCAGGTGGTTTAGACGGGTCTCGTCAATAGCCTGGAGCTGCTCGAAGACGTAGGGCGCCTGCGAGTCCCATTGCAGCTCCGCCTTCTCGATATCCTGTACGGCGTCGGCAACGGCGGAAGCTTTGGCCTTCGATCCCTTATCACGAAGCTTGCTTTGCTTCTTCTGCGCCGTGTCGATGTCTTTTGCGATTGCCGAGAGGTTCCCCTGGATGTTGCCGAAGCCCTGCACGTCGCGGTTGTTGGCAGAGAAGTCGCGAAGGGGTCGCTCGACGTCGGCCTCGATCCGGGAGGCCAGATGCGCATGCGATGCGGCGATGGACTCGGTTGCGCTCACGATCTTCTGCCAGGGCGTCGCGAAGATGCTGGCCGTGTTAGCTGGTGCGCTACGAGACGAATGGGGCGGGTGCATACCCCAGGTCCGAGGACTCATCGGGAGGATGTCTGTTTGCGAGCTTGCGCAGGCCGGTGACGTATTGTTCTTCGACGCGACGGCGTTCCTGCGCATTGGTGAGCACGTGTGGATGGCAATGCGCGGCAGCTGGGCCTGACGCACCTGCAGCCAGTCGGCAATGTGGGTGTTGAGCTGGCCGACATGTCTCATGCGGGTGTCAAGGACCGTCACGGCCTGGGCGGGCGACAGCGATGTCTATACATGGTGTGAGCCGAAGAAGTTGGGAGGCATCATCGAGGCACTCTCACCAGCAATGCCGGGTATTCTTTGCGTTGGAGCTCCATGGCGAGGAATGCGGGGGACGGGCGCACAGCCACAGAGAAGCGATTCGGGCTATTTACATGGAGAGGCAGCTCGGCGGGCTGGTCGGGAGTCGTGGAGCTGTCACAACTGCGCTGGCTGTCATGGCTTGGGGCTCGTCGCTTTCGGCCTAGTCCACCGCGGTTGCGTCCGGGAGTCTGACGTAACCTGGGAAACGACTAAACCTCGAGATGCCTCCCCTGACCCAGTCGGGGCGTTGGTGAAGATTCTGAGACGCGCCAGAACGTGTCGAGTGATTGCATAATATTGACCTCTGTGACCATGGCCACGCTGCCTTTGGGCACCGACCGCGCGGGCTTGGGCAGTGGCGGACGCTGAGTCGGGGCGACTGGTCTCCTTCTCTTGCCTGGCAACACCGCTACATGTCTCCTACCTCGACTTCTGCGTCTGAGTAATCGCGCCACATGGCTTCCTCGGACTGGCGAGCGAGCTTGGGCTTCACTGCCCGCCTGATGGCTGTCACAAAAATGCAGGTAACATGTTTATACCGTCACGCTAGGGAACCTGGTACATTCTAGTCCGGAACAGGGCCCGACCATGTGAATGGCATACTTGCTTGATCGCGATCTTCGATGGAAAAAGACGATTTGGCCCAATCAGCACGCGTGGAACATGGAAATTCAAGACTAACATTATTGCAGGACATCAGCCTTCCAGGCAGCGGGCCCTTCTCTGTCGGCAGACGACGCTCGGAAAAAGGCCACTGTAGCTGAGACGACAATCTACGCAGACGCCCACTCTCTGGTACATATCAATATGGTGCTTTATGATTCCATTTTAACCATGTCACAGGACGACTACGACAGATTGTGCAACGACAAGATAACAAATCTGCCCAGACCGTCACTCGACTTTCCAACACCAGAGGTCAGTAGTTGCCATACTAAAAATCATCAATCAACTAATTCGTATCCTAGGACGAAGACTATGTCCCAACACCCGGCGGCAAACCAGTTGGCAAGTATCAGAATGCACTGTACCACCGCGAAGGTCTCTTCTCCGTCATCTACAAAGCGCCTGCAATTGGAAATGAAAGCTACTTTCCCACAAAGTCACCCACGAAGACCAATGTCGTGGCTCTGAAGATCACTACACCATCGGTAATGGAGCCACCGCACGACTCACAGCGAGAGGCCAAGATACTCACCATGGCGGCATCAGAGCGGGTCATCCCTCTCATAGAGACTTTCCGCGAAAATGGAAGCCACTTCGTTCTGGTCTTCCCATTCGTGCGCCACGATTTCAACGACCTACTGCGGGACAAGAAGCTGTCCAAGAGCCAGATCAAGTCGTGCTTGAAAGACCTCTTCACCGCCCTAGCCGACATCCATGGCAAGGGAATAATACATCGCGACATCAAGCCTTCCAACATACTCTTGAAATCCCTCGACGGACCAGCATATCTTTCCGACTTCGGCATCGCGTGGGCGCCCGAAGCACCGGGTCCAGAAGCAGCGGATGCGAAGATTACCGACGTTGGTACTACCTGCTACCGACCGCCAGAGCTGCTGTTTGGGAACCAGAAGTACGGCTGCAGTCTG